TCTTACGTAGCTGCTCAATGCTTACACTGCTTCCCTTAAGGACTGTGCCAGGCAGTCACTCTGCTAGCAAGTTCACAATCATCCACCTTCCACTTAGTAGTGCGTCATTTAACATTTTCTGGTCTAAGTGTACTACCTGCAATGTCTTACTTTGGGAACCTTTTGAGCTTGATCTTATAGTAAAATAGGTCTGAATCACCAATAGTCATCTTCAGTAATTGCCATACCGTACAAATACAAGATAGCTGTGTAAAAGAACAAGTGGAGGTTAATTCCACCCTAGCAGGATAAGAGAAAAAAATCGAGTTTCAGCTCTGGAGACTGCCTGAGGTGTTTGTATAGACGTGTATATATATACTGTCAAGAAAGTGATTGAGTAATTAGATTTAAATTCTCACATGGTGCAACCAGACCTATTTTCTTGCTTGACTTTTTGATGTTTTATATCCATGTCTGGAAGGCTGTACGTGATCCGTTTCAGATGGTAAGACAAAAAAATTCAAAAAACTTGAAAACCGAAATTATAAAAAAAATTGAAAACCAAATCCTGAAAAAAAACTTAATTAGTGCACATTTGTCTTTTTTCACATTTGCTATGTATAATATACATTTTTTTCCAGAGATTACACAAAGGTGTGCTGTAAGTGATTAATATCATAAGCTAATTGTACAGAACAAAAGTAACAAAAGTTTTTTGCCATTTTCTTACAAAATAAAAAAAAAGATTTAGTAGTTATTTGTGTGAATTTAGGAGACGTGAAAAATTTAACAATTTGAAAAAAACTGCAAAATGTATAGCAATGTATTTATAATAATAATTACTTACACTTATATAGCGCTTTCCTGGACACTCCACTCAAAGCGCTTTACAGGTAATGGGGACTCCCGTCCACCACCACGAGTGTGCAGCATCCACCTGGATGATGCGATGGCAGCCATAGTGCGCCAGAACGCTCCCCACACATCAGCTATCAGTGGGGAGGAGAGCGAGGAGAGAGTAATGAAGCCAATTCACAGATGGGGATTATTAGGAGGCCATGATTGGTACAGGCCAATGGGAAATTTGGCCAGGATACCAGGGTTACACCCCTTCTCTTTTCGAGAAACGCCCTGGGATTTTTAATGACCACAGAGAGTCAGACCATCTCATCCGAAGGACGGCAC